TAGGTAGGTAGGTATGCAGGTAGGCACGCAGGTAGGCACGCAGGTAGGCAGGTAGGCAGGTAGGCAGGTAGACAGGTAGGCAGGTAGGCAGGTAGGCAGGTAGGCAGGTGGGTAGGCAGGTAGGCAGGTGGGCAGGTGGGCAGGTGGGTAGGTTGGTAGGTCTGTATGTCCGTATGTTTGTAGGCGGGTAGGTAGGCAGGTAGGCAGGCAGGCAGGCAGGCAGGCAGGCAGGTAGGTAGGTAGGTAGGTGCTTATATACACACATGCGCACAGCACATATGCGTAAATGTGTGTGTGTATAGATAGATAGGTAGATAATTAGGTAGGCAGGGAGGTAGATAGATAGGTGGATAGACAGATAGATAGATAGATTGGTAGATAGATAGATGGATAGATATATATATATATATACATACATACATACATACATATACATACGCATACGTGTACATCCAGCCATCCATGCATCCATCCATCCATCCATCCATCCATCCATCCATCCATCCATCCATCCATGCAGATAAAGATATATCCCTACATGCCCACATTCTTACACACATGCTGAATTGTATCCATCCATGCATGCATACCTACATGCGTACATACATACTACACACATACGCATGCATTCCTGCTGCCAGACAGACAGACAGACAGCCAGACAGCCAGCCAGACAGGCAGGCAGCCAGAGACAGACAGACAGAGAAGCAGTATTATCAGTAGCATTGCGATTGCTCTTATTCTTGTCTTTATCAGCAGCACCATTGCCACTGTAGCACGTGTATCAAAACGCTTGCAGATCAGAGCGGCAGTTTATTGAAATTCAACTGGTGCGAGTCCTGTCGGCTTCGTATCCACAAGAGCTCAGGTGTCCTACACCCTCAATCATCCTAGACCCCGGCTAGCAAGGGGGTCGACGGGCAGCGCTCAGATAGACTGGGTTGGGGATGCAACCTAAGTCTACAGATGCTTTGCTTTGCGCACAGCAACAAGTATCGTCGCAACAGGACAGCAGCAGCAAAACTGTTCGCAGTATTCTTTGAGGTCAGGGAGGCAACCGAAGCATAGTTCGAAGTCGCATCACTAGTGATCGGTGATCATAGTATCATTGCTGCTTTGGGCACAAGGAGACTGAGATTAGGAGGTCCTGGAATCTGCCTGGCGCAGGTGCTGATGACAGCAATCGAAAAGTCTGGCCATGCCCCTCCGGTCAAAGGAGAGCTAAGAAGGGGCTACCGCGACTTTAAGGTCAGAAAGCCTTGGCTCAGAATGCCCGGTTTTCCCTGGCTCTGGTCGTGAAGTACTGTAGAAGGCGGACTACCTAGCTACAGTACCACCCTGTGGTCCCCATAGTAGTTCTTGCAATTACAAAGTACGCTACGGTGCTTTTCGGGCTCTGGACTCTCAGGCTTTGGGCTTTGATTGTCTTGTTCTCGTTTCTAACATAGCGGCCCTAATAATTGGAATAGGGTATGGGGGGGGGGGGTATATTATACTATAATTCCAATAATAAGGAGTCCCCCAAAACCCTATTCTAATTATTAAGGCCCCTACATTAAGCCTAGAAGCCTCACCATGACCCTACAAGGCTGCAAAAGTCAAGCTTGGCACGGATGTCGCAGCTTCAGAGTTCTACGATGCCCTTCGGCTGCACCTAAAGCTTGGAGTCAAGACTAGATCAAGATTCGACTCGATGTTCTCGCTTTGACGGCTTGGGACGTGTTTTGTGTTTTTGGGGTTTGCTAGTCTTCTTTTGTTTGAGCTCCTGGTGGGGTCTGGGCCTTCAGGCAGGAGTGTTGCGTCTTGGAGATAGGCGGTTTCGAGCATAAGTGTGGGGATCTCAAGGACTATCCGCATCATTCCCGTTTGACCAGAGTGCACCCCACGCTTCTGAGAAGGTAGGTAAACCCTAAACCCTAAAACCTGACTTAGAGGTCCACTTGCAAGAAGACCCTCTCATGTCACAGTCCTGAGTGTTCTTCGATTACACGAAGTTCGGATACACAGAACCTCCCTAAACTCGAAAGTGCAACCTCGCATCTACACCCGAGACTCAGAGGGGCCAGAAGGATTGGCAAGATGAAACCCCAGAACCCCATATGCTGATCCCTCAATGTATCCCTTATAGTACACTTTAAGGGACTTCTTGAAAGGAGCCCTATTCTAATTCGTCATAGCAGCCATCCTGCGAAGAATCACCCACTCCCAGTCGAACCCACCCAGAATTCGGACGCAGCAAGCTTTACAGGGTTTAGGAGGTTAGGGTCTTAGGGCTTTAGCCGTTTAGGAGTTTCGGGTTTTGGAGTTTAGGAGTTTAGGGTGTTGGGGTTTTAGGGTTCAGGGTTTAGGGTGGGACCCTTGCAGCCTGAACCCAGGCAAAGGAGAAGAAGTATGACCTCTACTGGAAGGACAAGGACAAGAAGGGGCCGACACCTCATCTTCCTACTAGTGGGGCCCATATGCGGGGCCTGAACAAGTACGGATTTTTAGGGTTTAGGGTTTAGGGTTTAGGGATACTGCGAGGATTCCTTGGTGCATTTATAGGACAATATGCCCCAGTTTATAGCATAATATGCCCCAGAACCCTATTCAAGTTGTTGTGGCCCCTAGTTGGCCGAGCAGCGTGGTCAGATCCACGAGAAGCAGTTCGGGGTCTGAAGTTTAGGGTTTGGGGTTTGGGGCTTCAGGGTTTGAGTTTTAGGGTTTGGGATTTCAGAGTTTCTGGTGCCCACACAGGAGTTCCCAATATCCGCACAGACCAGACATGCAAGTTTTTGTTTGCGAATGTAAAGAAACTGCAGCGGCATGCGGCGCTATGTGACACTGTACTGGTGCAAGGTCGCTTTTGAACAACATCAGGGCCGGATGGTGCTCGTCATCATCGTTTGTGATTGCTGCGACACAAACATCGCCGTCATGGCCATTTTGTTTCGGATCCAAGCCCTCCACCCGAAACCCCCAACCCAGAGCCCGAAACTGAAAGCCCAAACCCTAAGCCCAGAACCCTCTGGAGCCATAAATCCAGAACCCAAAACCCCAGAGAAGTTACCAAAGTGAGGCAGAAGCTCATGTCTACCGCAGAACTGGCAGAGTACTTCAAGGGATGGACCGAGAAGAGCCATGCCAGGGATCCTTCTGGAGTTTGGGGCTTTGGGTTTTGGGTTTGGGGTTTAGGGTTTGGGGTCTGGGGTTTAGGGTTTAGGGTTCAAGGTTTGGGTAGAGTTTGGGTTTCAGGGTTTAGGGTTTGGGGTTTGGGGTTTTGGGCGTTTGGGTTTTGGGGTCTAGTTCAAGGGCCTGGGCTCTGGGACCACGGTTTAGGCTCAGCGCTTAAGATTCAGGGTCTTGATATGGGTGAGGTGATTATGAAAACCCTATTCTAATCGCTAAGGCTTGAAGGCCCGATTCATCCCCCCTTACCTTATTATTGGGGGCGGGGGCGGGGGGGGTATGTCATTAGTAGTATACGTAACGAAGACCAAGGAAGAATGCTACGAACTGAAGGGTTTTCGGAGCTTGGCTTTGTCCTAAGGCCAAACCCAAAACCCTAAACCCTAAACCCTAAACTCCTAAACCCTAATCCCCTAAACCCTAAACCCTTAAACCCAAACCCTAAACCCTAAACCCCTAAACCCTAAATCGTGCGGCTGTTCGCCAGGATTTCAGCCGGGGCCTTTCTTGGTACAGGGCTTCAGACGTTCGGGCTTTCGATTGGGGGGAGCTCTTGAAAGTAGGGATCCCGTTTGGGAGTCACTCTGTTTGAGTATCCGGCCGCAGCCCGTACTTTGTGGAATTCCTGATGGTCTTCTGCGAATGAACGACTTTTCTGTAGATTTGAAGGGGTTGTAATGTAGGGGCCTTAGCAATTAGAATACGGTTTTGGGGTAGGATATACCTATAAGTATAAGAAGGAGCCCCCAAAACCCTATTCTAATTCTTAAGGCCCCTACATTAGGGTACGTGGACCATCCCAAGGTTCTGACGGTGCACGGACATCACATCCCCAGGCTCTTAAGTTCAAGGTTCGATGAGCCCTGCCACCGAATCCTTAACTGCAGGATGCTTGCCACAATTCTACTCGATACGTGAGTCGGAATGTGTAGCAGTAGTAGTAACTAGTAGTAGTAGTAGTAGGAGTAGTAGTAGTAGTAGTAGTAGTAGTAGCAGTAGCAGTAGTAGTATAATACGATCACTGTAGCCCCTGCATGTAACTATACATAAGACAGTGCAACCCAAAACGCTCTGCGAATTACTACGGCTCCTGTATGATGCTGCAACCGAGGTATCCAATGGTCTCCATAGAAGATCCCTTCGACCAGGCTCGCATGTCATTCGCAGACGTGATCACAGTCGGTGTTTCATTCGCTATAGTTGCTGTCATTTACCCCAAAACCCTAAAGCCAACACCCCTACACTCCTACCCCCAAAACCCTAAAGCCGCTATTCAATGTTGCATGGCGGCAGTGAAGATGCTGATACTGTTTCAAGACATGTCTGCTTCTCGGCTGTGGTGCTGCTGGTGCTGGTGCTGATTAGGATGGAGAATGATAGCACTGAAACTGACGACGATGTTGGCGCTGATGTAAACTATGGTGATAATGACAACCCTGCTGGTGATGGTGATGCTCCTGCAAATGCTACCGCTTGTGCAGCGGCTGCTGATTCTTTTGCCTGAACTGGCAATCATAGTTATGGCCTGCCCTTGCTGACTTCAGAACTTCACCTGCAACTGCGATATTTTTTTGAAAGAGGAGTGCTCGTTTGAGACGTTGCTTCCCTGTCGAGAAGGTCTGAAAGAGGGCCTAGAGGCCGTATCAACTTAACGTTTCAGGCTTCGCGCTCTTATTCTACCGATCTCAGATCAGCTACCGGACACCGCACCACAGCCACGGAGACGTGCTCAAGAGATCCGGGATTTGAAGCCCTGACTTCCGGAGTCGTACAGGATATGCTCCATTTGCAGTTGCTTCGGATGGTGGCAATCTGCACCGTTTGCACCCTTGGACCCTCGGAGGACGACTGGGACGGCTACAAGCCGTTCACTGCGGCGATCGGAGACAAGGCCGAGCTTTGCAACTTCTGAATTCGGGATTCGGGAAGAGTTGTCTATCATCTTTGCATGGGAGCTCCAGAAAGGAATCTTAGTTTAGCTCATGCTTTCTGATTCTCCTTGGGCAGAAGGGACTCACTTGGTTCAGGGAGGCATAGGATGTGTATCCGCTTATAATTTTATATACGATGTCAAGGAGTCACTCATCTTGAACGTCCTGTGCATCAAGCTCTGAAACTTCTGGATCGTCTCTGGGCTTGGGAGACGAAAGCCCAACAGAACGGAGAGCAGCAAACGCCCAAATGCCCACCATCCCTTGACAACCCAAAACCTCCCTTCTCCACTACCACCGGCTTCAATGCGTCACTATTCAACTGAGACTCGTCGAATCGAGGCCAAAGCCCTTAGCGTCCCTATGCCCAACCCATAGAAACCCGAAGCAAAGCATACGCCGGGTTACTGCTCGAATGGTATTTGTAGTTAGGCTAGGCTATGTACTCAGGAAGTTAAAGTAATCGTGCACGAAAGTGTATGGACAAGTGGTATGTTTTTGGGCGTTACGGACTCTCGGCTCTAGGGATTTAGGGCTTCAGGGCTTTTCGAGTTGCGGGCTTGAGGATTTTTAGAAGCCACACAGAATTGACCATTCCCGCCCTGAAGACTAATACAGGGGCTTTAATAATTAGAAGAGGGTTTTGGGGGTTCCTTATTCTGATTATAGTATACATATAGTATACAAACCCCCGAAACCCTATTCTAGTTATTAAGGCCCCTACATCAGGATCCTCAAGCGCAGGTCCAAGTCGTGGGCGATGATCTGCTGGTCACCAACCCGAAGCGTATTGGCAAGGCTGTGGAGGACGGCGACGTCCCGTGTCCTGAAAAGAGCAATGTAGGGGCCTTAATAATTACCAATACTATTTTGGGGTTCCTTATTCTATTTTTGTTATAATGGGCCCCAAAACCCTATTCCAATTATTAAGGCCCCTCTAGTAATCCAGGATGTCCGGGAATGGAGTTTGAGCAGGTCAGGATTGTCATTTGCGATCTATAAGTCGGAATCGGCTCCGAACGATCGAGCAATTCCCGCTGCTCGCCTGGGGCTTGCTGTTCTGCCTCCCTTTTGCCTCCCCCCCGCCTCATCCTTCCTGGACGCTCGGTGTGTTTGTTTTACCAGTCCTGTCAACTGTGTCACCCTACCTGACCTTCTTGCACAAATCTTGTGCTGTGCATGTTCTTGAAGTTGCTGTGCGCTGTGCCAGCACACCGACAAGCTTCCCCAAGGCGCCACAATGTTCAAAGCACCTTCTACACCTTGAGGTTCATGTCATGTGTTATATGACCATCCGGACCTAACATCTTCTCGTGCCATCGTGTGTTTGTCTGTGTGTGTTGGTTGCCAGGTACTGATCATGATGATCACTCACCCACACACACACAAGGATTTGACTGTGCAAGCTTCCTGGTCCTTTGATGCCGCTTAGGACTTAGGATCCGTCATTCCTGTCATCATGTGCTCCGACTAACTCGTCCTCTGTTCTCGGCATGATGTCAGGGTTGCAGCAATTACCGATCGCATCATTGTTTCTTGACTACATTCGCGAACTGTTACGTACACTCCATACCACTGCTTCCTACTAAATCATAAGCAAAGGCATCATCGTTCCCGCTGTCAGGCAATGAGGTTAAGGCCTCTTGAGTGAAGGATGTCCTTTGTCTCCGTATGCCAGCGAATAGTCAACCACAGTGGTCGGAGTGTGGCATGTTTCGCCGAAAACCCTAAACTCCTGGAGTCTTAAACCCGAATCTCAACTAGCCAGAGCAAATTAGAGCCACATCCGAGGCCTGCAACGCTTTGCTCCTCAAGGCGGGCCATACCGGCACTGGGGCTACTGTTCCTCTGCTTGGGGGCTGAGGGCTATGATCACCCGGAAAACCAAACACTTCGGGACCCGGCAACCCACCGATCCGGTACGCTCGATCGAAGACGGTGTCAACCCCAGATTCCTCCAACGTTTGGCCCGTCTCCGCTCCCCGAAGCCCTCCACAAGAGCCGGACGTACGTGAGAGTAGCAAAAACAGGATGGACAGTAACACCGCTGGTAGCGCTTCTTGAGGAAGCCATCACGAATCTCAATATCTTCATCTTTTCAACAGCAGCCATAAGAAAGCTAATAGTAATAAGAAGAAGACTAGTACAAATAATCGTATATAGTAACACAAACTTCGTCATCCCCGCAGGTGAATCAGATTGGCTCCATCTCTGAGGCCATCGAGGCATGCAAGCTCTGCCAGGACCGCGTTGGGGGTTGTTGTCAGGTCTTAAGGCTTAGGACTTGTGAACTTAAAGTTTAGGGTTTAGGGGTTTAGGGTTTGGGGTTTAAGGTTTGGGGTTTAGGGATGAGCATGTGCGTTCAGTGTTATTGCTGCAACCCGATTCCGTAGTATGTTCTTGCTTGTACCTGAGTAAGTGTCATTCCTCCGGCTGTGCTCGAGCCTTTCGCAGATGTACTTCGAGCCTGATACAGCTCTTGTCATCGGCAAGATGTATCAAGTTCTCCGCAATCATTGTCATGGCAATCGGTGTTTGGCTGAAGAAACGACTTCGACAGCTCATGGCACTGCCCCTGCAGCGTTGTTTCTGCTGCTTACTGCTTCCTATACCGTGCGACTACAACTGATGACCCGACTGGTAGTGGTAGTTGTACGAGCACAAGCAATCGTCGCACTGCTACTACTACTGCTGCTGCTACTGCTACTGCTCCTGCTCCTATTACTGCTGCAGCTGCAGCTGCTGCTGCTGCTGCCTCTGCCTCCGCCGCCGCCGCCGCCGCTGCTGCTGCTACTGCTCCTGTTACTGCTGCTGCTGCTCCTGCTACTGCCACGACTGCGACTACTGCTGCTACTGCTGCTACTACTACTACTACTACTACTACTACGACTACTACTACTGCTACTACTACTACTTACTACTACTACTACTACTACTACTACTGCTACTACTACTACTACTACTACTACTACTACTATTACTACTACTACTTACTACTACTTACTACTACTACTACTACTACT